GATGGTCCAGTTCTATTATTCCTTCATTTACTACCTGGAATCCTTTTATTTATTTATTTATTTTATTTATTTATTTTTTGGCCGGGGCTGGGTTTGAACCCGCCACCTCTAGCATATGGGGCCTGTGCCCTCCCCTTTTGAGCCACAGGCGCCACCCTCCTGGAATGCTTTTATAATGAGAAACTTATCTTCATTTATTATTTGTCTATTCAGTGATATAGTTTGTATATGAAAGGTTAGATAAATGCTAATTTCCTTTTATTTGCTGGTTTTCAATATAATAATTTTGTTCTCTAGCTTAATCCAATAGTGATTATTATCTCTTTTGTATCAGTGTGAGCTCATTGATTTAAACATGTTTAATGTTTTGGTTTGTGGTATTTATTAGTCCTGTTGATGAACAAATCCCTCCTGACCACTAGAAGCTTTTCATGTTTTTTGAACAATCATAAGTCGTCTGTGATAGCTTTTTTGATATCTGGATTTAAAAAGTATTCCAAGTTCATCATTTCTTTCTTCATTTCTCCAAGGTACCCTGATTCCTTTTAATGAGAAATGGTATGTGGAAATCACAATCTAGGTGTCTGGGTATGATGCATATTTCTACAGAATTGGTCATCATTTTTATTTATTTATTTATTTTTTAAATTTACCTATTTTTTTTTTATTAAATCATAGCTATGTACATTAGCTGTGTACATTAATGCAATCATGGGGTACAATGTGCTGGTTTTGTATACAATTTGAAATATTTTCATCAAACTGATTAACATGGCCTTCACCACATTTTCTTAGTTATTGTGTTAAGACATCTATATTCTATACTTAGTAAATTTCACATGTACCCTTGTTAAGATGTACCGTAGTTGTGGTCCCACCAATTACTCTCCCTTCTCGCTCCCCTCCCTCTCCTTTTCTCTTCTTCTTGGGCTATAATTGGGTTAGAGTTTTCATATGAGAGCAATAAATTGATTTCATAGTAGGGCTGAATACATTGGATACTTTTTCTTCCATTCTTGAGATACTTTGCTAAGAAGAATATGTTCCAGCTCCATCCATGTAAACATGAAAGAGGTAAAGTCACCATCTTTCTTTAAGGCTGCATAATATTCCATGGTATACATATACTACAATTTATTAATCCATTCATGGGTCAATGGGCACTTGGGCTTCTTCTGTGACTTAGCTATTATGAATTGGGCTGCAGTAAACATTCTGGTACAGATATCTTTGTTATAATGTGATTTTTGGTTTTCTGGATATATACCTAGTAGAGGAATTATAGGATGGAATGGCAGGTCTATTTTTAGATCGCTAAGTGTTCTCCAAACTGAACGTATTAGTTTGCATTCCCACCGCAGTGTATAAGTGTACCCTTTTTTCCACACCCACACCAACATCTCTGGTTTGGGGATTTTGTGATGTGTGCTAATCATACTGGAGTTAGATGATATCTTAAAGTAGTTTTGATTTGCATTTCTCTGATGATTAATGATGATCAGCATTTTTTCATATGTCTGTAGCCTGTGCACCTGTTTTCTTCAGAGAAATCTCTCTTCAAGTCCCTTGCCCACCCTGAGATGGGATCACTTGTTCTTTTCTTGCTAATATGTTTGAGCTCTCTGTGGATTCTGGTTATTAAACCTTTGTCAGAGACATAGCCTACAAATATCGTCTCCCATTCTGAGGGCTGTCTGCTTGCTTTACTTACTGTGCTCTTGGCTGTGCAGAAGTTTTTTATTTTGATCAGGTCCCAGTAATGTATTTTTGGTGTTGCTTCAGGTGCCTGAGGGATCCTCCTCATAAATTATTTGCCCAGGTCCATTTCAAGTGTTTTCTCTGCACTTTCTTCTAGTATTTTTTGAGGTACATGTCTTAAGATTAAACCTTTCATGCAGTGAGAGTCAATCTTAGTTAATGGTGAAATGTGTGAGTCCAATTTCAGTCTTCTACAGGTCACCAGCCAGTTCACCCAGCGCCATTTGTTAAATAGGGAATCTTTTCCCCACTGAGTTTTTTTAATTGGCTTGTCAAAGATCAAGTACCGGTAGGTAGCAGGGTTTATCTCTTAGTTCTCTATTCTGTTCCATACATCTACCTCTCTGTTTTTGTGCCAATACCATGCAGTTTTGATCACTATCAGTTTATAATATAATCTGAGGTCTGCTAGCGTGATTCCTCCTGCTTTATTTTTATTTCTGAGTAATGTCTTGGCTATTTGAGGTTTTTTCTGATTCTGTATAAAGCAAAGTATTATTTTTTCGAGATCTGTAAAGTATGACAATGGAGCTTTAAAGGAATTGCATTAAAATTGTATATTGCTTTGGATAGTATGGGCATTTTAACAGTGTTGATTCTTCCCAGCCATGAGCATTGTATGTTTTTCCATTTGTTAACATCTTCAGTTATTTCTTTTCTCAGAGTTTCATAGTTCTCTTTATAGAGATCTTTCACATCCTTTGTTAAGTAAACTGTCAAATATTTCATCTTCTTTGGCACTACTGTAAATGGAATAGTCCTTGACTGTTTTTTAGCTTGACTATTGTTGGTATATATAAATGCTACCGATATGTGAGTGTTGATTTTGTAACCTGAGACACTACTGTATTCCTTGATCACTTCTAAGAGTTTTGTAGTAGAATCCCTAGTGTTTTCCAGATATACAGTCATATCATCTGTGAAGAAAGTTTGATCTCTTCTTACCCTATATGGATACCCTTGATCACCTTTTCTTCCCTAATTGCAATGGCTAAAACTTCCATTATAATGTTAAAAAGCAGTGGAGACAGCAGAAGAAAATAAATAGCCAAAATCAGAGCAGAATTAAATGAAATTGAAAACAAAAGGATTATACAATAGATCAATAAATCAAAAAGTTGATTTTTTTAAAAGGTCAATAAAATAGATAAACCTTTGGCTAACCTAACCAGGAAAAAAAGTAAAATCTCTAATTCCATCAATCAGAAATGGTAAAGACAAAATAACAACAGACTCCTCAGAAGTTAAAAAAAATCCTAAATAAATATTGCAAGAAACTCCATTCTCAGAAATAGGAAAATCTGAAGGAATAGACCAATACTTGGAAGGATGCCACCTTCCTAGATTTAACCAGAATGAAGTGGAAATGTTGAACAGGTCTATATCAAGTTCTCAAATAGCATCAACTATACAACATCTCCCTAAAAAGAAAAGCCCAGAACCATATGGCTTCACATCAGAATTTTACCAAACCTTTAAAGAGGAACTAGTACCTATATTACTCAACCTTTCCGAAATATAGAAAAAGAAGGAATACTACCCAACACATTCTATTCAGCAAACATCATCTTGATCCCCAAACCAGGAAAAGACCCAACAACAAAAGAAAATTATAGACCAATATCACTAATGAACATTGATGTGAAAATATTCAACAAGATCCTAACAAACAGAATTCAGCAACACATCAAACAAATTATACTCCATGACCAGGTCAATTTTAACCCAGGGTCTCAAGGCTGGTTCAATATACATACATCTATAAGCATAATTCATCACATAAACAAATTAAAATACAAAGACCATCTGATTTTCTCAATTGATGCAGAAAAAGCTTTTGATAATATCCAGCATCCTTTCATGATCAGAACACTTAAGAAAATTGGTATAGGGCGACCACCTATGGCTCAAAGGAGTAGGGCGCCAGCCCCATATACTGGAGGTGGTGGGTTCAAACCTGGCTCTGGCCAAAAAACCAAAAGAAAACAACAACAACAAAGAAAAATGGTATAGAAGGGACAGTTCTTAACCTGTTAGAGGCCATCTACAGCAAACCCACAGCCTATATCATATTGAATGTAGTTAAATTGAAATCATTTCCACTCAGATCAGGAACCAGGCAAGGTTGCCCATGGTCATCATTTTTAAACCTTTCCCTGGACAGAACTAGAAAGTATACTTGTTCATGTGCATGTTTTTGTTTAAGATGAAATGCATTATAGAGTTTAAATTGATACCTCTAATTCAAATTGAGCACCATAAGGGTAATTTTTTACCCTCCAAAACCTTCCTTTCTCTTTGTCCCTATTCCATTTTCTTAAGGATGTTGGGGGTGGCAGAATTATAAAATCCTTTATCTCTCATGTACTTTGTTCCTTATCAAGTCAAATCAGAATAGCAGTACTAAAACTGTCACTAATAGTATGATTACTGAAAACGTGAAGAATCTATTACTTCATTGGTTATAGATAGTCTGTTTTTATGTCAGTTTTGATAAATCACACTTTTTATAGGAATACATCCATTTCTTCTAAATGTGCATAGTTATTATCACAAAATTGTTTTATATCCTTACTATCTTTTTAAAATTTTTATCTACCCACGATGGTACTTCACTTACTTTTTGTAACTATTGCTCTTGATGAAGTTGTATTCTTTTCATTCTAAAGTTATTTATTTGCACCTTTTTTCTTTATCTTGTGGAGGCCATTGTTGATTTCATTAGTCTTATCAAGAAACAAGTTTTGGATTTGTTGAGATTCTGTAATATATTTGTTTTATATTCCATTAATTTCCTATTTCTCACCTCCTTCCTTCCACTTCCTTGAGTTTATTCTGTCTTTTTCCTCCTCTTACTTAGCTCATAATTCATTAGACTTTCTTTCCTAATGTAAATATTAAGGCTATTAATTTCCATCTTAAGTATTGTTACCAATAGTGATTTGTTGTAAAGCCCTAATTTGATAGAGTCTGTTATCACACAAGAAATTGTTAATATCAATAAAATATTTGGGGGGAATATTTTATGTAAGCTGCTTGTATCTCCTGTTTTTTGAAATGTGATATTATAGTTAGATTCTTTTTAGCATATGCCTACAACTTATTATATTGATTTAAATATTAACTAATATCATTATGTTGGAAATAATATTGCATATTTTATTCTAATTTAACTCCTCATTGCATTCATGGAACTTAATCGTGATTTACTAAGCATTTTTTTTTTAATTTTCCTTTTATAGGTTATTTTAGTGTCTGCCAATAAGTTGACTCGTTATATAGAACCGTGCCAGCTAACAGAAGATTTTGGGGGAAGTCTCACCTATGATCACATGGACTGGTTAAATAAGAGGCTGGTTGGTATATTGCAATGAGATAAAATGTTATTATATATATCAATAAGATATTTTGATAACTTTATCATATAAACCAATGAAAATAGATTAAAACCCTTTCTACAAAAAATGGAAAGTTGTAGTTAATACCAACTTAAGTCGGACTTAACTTGATTAGAAGCCTTTTGCCATTTGCGAGGTATATAACCTTCACCAATGTATTGAATCTCTCTTTGCCTTGGTGTCTACATCTCTCATATGGTGCTAATAGAACCTAGCTTGTGAGAATGTGGGGAAGATGAACTGAATATATAAACCCTCTACACCAGCACCTGACTGCTGTAGCACCATATAAGTCTAAGTTGTTGCTGTTGTCAGCGGCATTGGTAAAAGTTGTACAGTTTTTAAGTAGGATAGCAGAGCAGCATAATTTCATGAGAGGAATCTAGTTGACTTGTGCCATTTTTAGAAGATATTTAAACATCAACTGGAATTGTCAATTTGAGCAGTTTAATAGATTATTTTATTTCTGAAAATGTATCTTCTTTGTCAGTCTAAACTTTTGAAATTGGCTAGTCTATATAATTCAGTGTTGTTTTCCTATTAAAAGAACATACTTCAAATTAACTCAGTTTGTATTTTATGCTACTTTTATTAGAGGATAGTAAACTTGGTTTTCTCTGAGTAGATAACCATTTCTACTATATTTGGAAAGTGTTACCAATATGTGATTGTGTACTATACTACATATAAACTAGACTTACCCAAATACCTTTAGAACTATTTGAAGAAATTATATTGAAATTATAACTAACTTATTTTTCTGCTACATGTTCTTAACTGTTACAAGTAACCAACATGGCTTGGTGATAGAAGAACATAAAGAAAAGTTCTGTAACTGGTATCAAGGGCTTAGTAGAATCTATCTAAATAACATTCATATAGTTAAACTGTTATTGGTACAAATCTTTCTCAAACACAGAAATAAAAATATAACTGTCACGATGGAGAATAAAAAGAATCTTTTAATGTATTTAAATTTTAAAAATTCCGTATCCATTTAAACTAAGTCATTGTTTGAGGAAGCAGTTTTGTCTTCTCTTGCAGACAGTGTTGTGCTTCAGTGATCGAATTGCACTAAGTGACTTCCTGGGAAGGAAAGGGAACAGTAGGGGCTACTTCTGTTGCTCTTAACTGGCAAATCTTGTCACATATTTATTTTTAAGAATGTTCTTAGTACATTAATAAAATCTCATATTACAGGTTTTTGAGAAGTTTACAAAGGAATCTACATCATTATTAGATGAACTTGCTCTGATTAACAATGGAAGTGATAAAGGAAATCAGCAAGAGAAAGAAAGGTGAGTGGCCAGTTGTGATTAATCTGATGACAGAAACCTGTGTTAATGTAAGCTGAGAGAACTACAGTAAACAAGTCTGCATTTAATCAAAATTGACATACAGTATTCATGAGAATTTACTTTACATTGAAAACTTACTGATTTGAATCAGTTTCTTTACAAAATCCACTTGTGATCAATAGTAGTGTGTTTACCTTTTCTGACACTTTAAAATATTCACTTACAAGAATATGTTTTCAAAATGAAACCATTTTCTACCTTTTTTAGATTTCTACTCTTTGCTGGTGAAAACTATGAAAAAGTTACAGCTTAAAATAAAATGATTATAACCGTATTTAAATACATGAGCACTTAAATGTCTGACTTGTAGAACTTCCTCTGTCCTCATAAAATATGTGATATTCATGAGCTCAACTTGAGAAATTTAGGACTTTATCACATGGGATGAAGTAATAGTTGAGTTGTATTATCTAACTGTACTACCTAGATTTATCATTTTAACATATTTCTATTACACTTTACAGCCTTGTCAGGTTTAATTTTTTTGTTAGTATACCAAGTTTCTCTCCCCAGATACAAAGCACTCCAGGAAGCAAATAGTCTCTTCTTGGTCAATTGATTATTACTGGTCACTAGAACAGTAATTTTTCATTGGAAACTCAAACGTATCAATAATCATTCTTGTCTTTTTCCTTTGAATCTGACCTTGAAAATACAGTGGAACATTAATAAAATGCTTCTTGTTATTCCATGAATCTAAATATAGTCACATATTAATTAACTGAGATAATAAGAAAGATGCAAGATCATAGTTTTAACACCAAATTTTGATTAAAACAAAGTCAAAATGCGAAAAAAAATGATTTGAGCTCCTAAGCTCAAGCCATCCACCTGCGTAAGCCCCACAAGGTGCCAGTATTACAAGGGTGAGCCACCGTGTCCGGCTAGAAGTATAACCTTAAACATTACTCTTTTGGTGCTTGCCAGGTCTGTGGATTTAAACTTTCTTCCATCAGTTGATCCTGAAACAGTTCTTCAAACAGGTAAGATGAAAAAATGTATTTATTAGTGATCATAATCCAGTAAGCCAATTAAATCATTTAGTTCATTAAATAACCATTGATTCAGCATGTATGTGGTACCTGTGTTAGGAAATTAGAGAGAAATTTTTCAAACTGCTTTTGATTTCAATAGCTAGTGCATTAAGATACTTTATAATATTAGAAAATCAATAATGGTGATTATTAGATTATTTCCCTTTCTATAAAATGAATATATAAATTTCTCTTTCATTGAGTTGCTGTGTGCATTGTTGACTACTCATGAGCCAGGCATTGCATTTTTATGTATTTTCATATTTCATTCTTCTAACCACCCTTTATTTTCTTTATTTTGTACTTGAGGAAGCCAAAGCATAAACGTGTAAAATAATTTGTTCAAGATTAAGCTATCAAACTATTAGGCTCTATCACTATAACTCAAAATAAGTCTAAGTCCAGACCCATTAGCTAAATTGTCCTATAGTTATCCATGTAGAAACATTCAACACCTTGCAATGCCCTTGTACAGAGCGAGTGCTCAGAGCTGCCTGATGTGTATGTTCCAGCCCAAATATCTATAACTCTCACAAACTCTAGGGGAACAAATTGAAATTGTTTCCAATGGAAATACCTTGATTTTATTTCTAATCAATTTTTTCTAATAGCTCATAATTCTAATGCTGCTGTGTACCAGGCCCTGTTCTAAATACTTTGCATATGTTTAGTCATTTTCCACCACAGTGTTGTGTAAGGAATATTATCATCCCAATTTTAAGATGGGAAAACTAATGCATAAAAATGAAAAGTAACTTTCATGAGCCATATAGCTAGTAAATACCTGAGTTGGGACTTGAATCCAGGCAGTCTGGTTCCAAAGCATGTTCTTTGAAGACATGATAATGTGCCACTTTTCAAATAGAAATGATATCCACAAGGAAAATGTTAACAGCAATAACTGTCAAAGTAGAAAAAAGTATTCTGATATTAATGGCTTTTATGAATATATAGAAAAAGACTTTGCACAAATCTTTAAAACTGGTGTTTTTCCAATTATAAAATGTAATGAAGAGTAAAGAAATAAATTCAGAATATCTTTATTGTAGTGATTCAGGCATGTTTTTCCAGTATAATATACATCTTATTTCCTTAGAGAACAAAGAAATACTTGTACTGTCTGAATTATTATGTTTAAAAGGTACGGTAGACTTAGCCAAAATACTGCTTTAGATTTAAAACTTACTTCCATGTATGTATTTATTAACATTTTGAAAGCTTCTTACTTTAAGCCATTGAATTAAGAAGGTTTTAAAGTTTGTATTTTAAAATTAACTTTGTATGTTACTAGGTCCTATTTTATATGCTATTAACTCTTAATGTAGGGATTCAAAGAGGGTATAAAACAGAGATTTAGAAAGAATACTGGTGGATTTTTTTTAGAAATTGGGAATACTTCTAAAACATAATAGTTCTATTTTTATTGAAAGTCATTTAAATTTAGGATATTTTTCTAAATAAAAGTAAAGGAGATTCAAATATCTGTATATTGTGTTAGTACCTAAATTTTAATCAGAATAGTTTTATCTTGGAGAAACAACTTTAATTACTTTTAAAATTGTTTAATTCCTATAGCTTTAGATATATTAATTCCTACAGCTTTAGATATTACACTTTCTACAATTTTAACTCATGTATGAGTGTATTTCCTACATAAGTTTGCTGTAATTGAATCCCATTCAGTGCAGTTCTAACAGTAATATGGCCCATTATGATTCATAGTTAATATGTTGTGGAGATTCTTATAAATAGAGATTATTTAAATATTACCTTGTACCATTAATAAAAATGCTCCCATTAATTGTACATTTCTTACAACTTTTTTAATAAGTGCTGTGACTGAGAATATGGATTAATACTGAAAATTTACAACATATGGCTTAGATTAGTGCCATCAGACAGAAATCCTAGAGGGTAATCTTGCTATACAGCGAAATAAGATTGCATGGCGCAATATCCTGGGTAATGAATCCACAATAGCCAGAATATGACAGATAAGCAGGAAAAATATATACACCATATATATACAGTATATGCTGAATATATAGTATAGCTGTATATTTATACCATATATATGATACTTACAGGGTGTTCATGAAGTTCGTGTGCAATTTTAAATTGCACACTATTTTAAATTACACACCAACTTTATGTCCACCCTGTGTATTTATGGCATAGGATGGAGCATTTCACTATGCCATCTGATTTGTATAGTTTATATGTACAATTTTTCTCTTTATTGTGATACATAATTTTTTTTTTGGTGATACATAAATTTTTAAATTGCGCATCAGTACTTGTAGCCTGGTAGGTAGATGGTTTTAAAAACAAAGAACTAAAATTATAAAGATCAAGTAGTAAAACTTTTATTTCTTATAGTTATTAATTACAAATATCTTTTATTGGTAAAGGGCATGAATTGTTATCCGAATTACAGCAGCGGCGGTTTAATGGCTCGGATGGCGGGGTCTCGTGGTCTCCTATGGATGATGAACTACTTGCTCAGCCACAGGTTATGAAGTTACTAGACTCGCTCCGAGAGCAATATACCCGCTACCAGGAGGTGTGTAGGCAACGCAGTAAGCGCACACAGTTAGAAGAGATTCAGCAGAAGGTGATGCAGGTAGGTCTCTATCTGATTTGAAGGCACTTAACTCTTTTTACTTCTACATTTTTTTTCCTGAGAATTTCTTCTGTGTAACTCTTTGCTTAATTTCATATATGTATTTAACTGACTTCTGACAAACTTTTTACTGAGTTTATCTAAACTATACAAAGAACCTGAGGCACATCAAACTGGAGTCTGAAACTGTTTTTAATTATTTATCTTTTTACAAATAGCATTTGCATCAAAATTATTTCTCACAGTGATGACTTTGGGCACTCAGCTCACTCTGACAGGATGAACTTCAGAAATAACTAGTTTTGGGACACACCATTAGTGGTCTCCATGTATTCTTTCAATAAATGAACATTTGATTATTGAAATGTGATTTATTCTTAATTTTCAGTAGCTTAGTAGGTTTTTTTTAAATTTGGACATTATGAAGTGTTTTTATTCTAACAAAGTACATAAATGCAAGTAATTCTAATATTTGACTTATTTTTTATGGTATTGATAGAAAATATTAAATGTATTTCTTATGAATTTTTAGTTTCTTTTAAAAATGATTTTTGGGCCAGGTGCAGTGGCTCATGCCTATAATCCTAGCATTCTGGGAGGCTGAGGCAGGTAGAATGCCTGACTTCCTGAGTTCGAGACCAGCCCTGAGCCAGAGCGAAGAATAGCTGAGCATTGTGGTAGGTGCCTATAGTCCCAGCTACTTGAGAGGCTGAAGCAAGAGGATCACTTAAGCCCAAGAGTTTGCGGTTGCTGCGAGCTATGATCCTGCAGCACTCTACTGAGGGCAACAAAATGAAACTGTCTCAAAAAATATATATATATTATTTTGGGCCAGGCACAGTGGCTCATGCCTGTAATCCTAGCACTTTGGAAGACATGGTATTAGATTGCTTGAGCTCAGTAGACCAGTCTGAGCATGAGAAAGACTCTGTCTCTACTAACAACAGAAAAACTGAGGCAGGAGTATCCTTGGGCCCAAGAGCTCGAGGTTGCTGTGAGCTATAATAATGCCATGGCACTCTACCGAGGGCGACAAAGTAAGGGCAACAAAGTGAGACTCTGTTTAAAAAAAAAAAAAAGAAATTGACTTTTATAAGAAAAGTAGGCTAAAATACCAAAAATCAATAGTAAAGGAAGATATTTGTGTTATTTAGATTATACTCTGGATTTTTATCTGTTGTATAGTGAAGAAAATAAATCTTTAATAAATAATAAGTCTTTATCTGGATTTATTCATTCACCAGATTAAAATTTATTAAGCATTTTTATTACATGGAAAGAATTGTGTTAGGCTTTTACAGGATATAAAGGTAGACTTGGCTTTTCCTGTCGATATAGTTTAAGGAAAGATTGTGTTAAGTGTCACAAAGACAGGCCTGCGGTGCTCCAGGCAGTTAGAGGAGGTATTTCTATGGCTGCAGGTAATCTGCGGAGTAGCCCTTGAGATTGTGCTCCAAGAATAAGACTTCACCATGCAGTGATAGACTTTTAAGGGACTGGAGTATAAAGAATAGTGTGATTAAATACTAGCAGCATGAAATGCCACGGTGTGTTGAGGGAAGCAAAGGGCACAGTGGGCAGTTCGTGGCCTGTAAGAGTCACAGAGCATAATCAGAGAGCAGGATCCCAATCCTAGCTCCTCCACTTCGTAGCTGTGTGACCACAGACCCTGTGCTTTACCTGCCAGAGCCTTGCTTCATCTGTCCTCTTCCTTTTTTCTGTTTCTCTCTTTCTTTCCCTGTCTTCCTGTTTTCCTTAATTTAAACAGGGAAAACAATTGCAAGAGTATCTTCAATTTGTAAAGAACACAAATAGTTAGACCTTTTTTGAAAGGCTAGTGTTCAGAAATAACCCAGCCATCAAGCAATATACTTATTACATTCATTTCTCCTGAAATAGACTTTACTTTAAAGGTCAGTTGCCGGCAAATCTTTTCTATAAAAGGCTAAATATTTAGACCTTGTGGACCAATATAGTCTTTGTTGCAGCAATGGCTATTTAACTCTCCTATTATAATCAAGAGCAGACATGTACATCGCTGTTCTTCAATAAAACTTTATTTATAAAACAGTCAGAACTGGCCTGCAGTCCATGACGTTTGAACTAGAGCACCAGGATGTTATGAGAAAAAAGACTTGAAGAAAGGAGTTGGATCATGTCAAATTCTGTGCACAAGGATTTAGTCTTTATTCCATGATAACCGCATATAAAGTAGAAATTTCTGAGCATACACTATGTGTAACATTTCCTGTATAAGTTAAAGACAGTTAATACTAAACCCAGACAAGTTTTAGCCAGTTAGCTTGAGACTATTTTAGGAAACCACAAACATGGAATAACCTAGTGGTACAAAATTTAGCTTCTGAGCCTAGGTAATAATCTAAGTCCACCCTCTTCTCCCCTTTACAGTGACAACAGCAACAATAATAAAACATATGTACATATTTAACTGGACTATTACAGGGATTAAAGAAGAGAATTTTTATAAAATGTTTAGTGCCAGGAATGTAATGAGTCCTTTATTAATAATTTATTATATCAGTTCACTCATTCAAAATGAATGTCTATAATAGTGTGATATTGTGTTAGGCTTAGGGATGTATTGGTAAATAAAAATAGACAAGGTTATCACCTTGATGGTGCTTAATTACATTATGAAATAGAGTTGTGAAATCACAACTGTGCCGAGAGCTGAAAAGGGGAAGGATCGAAGTAGGGTTGGGACAAGCAAGATGGCATGGGGATGCATCATGTAGTGACTTGCAAGGATTAGTATCTTGGCTCGTCGGATGATGCTGCCCACTTACAGAAGACTGGATGATATTTGGGTTTGAGTGTGGATGGAAATGTGTGTGGAGAATCGTGAGTTTGGTTGCACATGTATTAAATTTGAGGTGATTTTTGTGACATTTAAGAAAAGATGTAGAATGGAGGTCTAGCACAAGTCCAGAAATCAGAGAAGTCTGTGCTGGGACATAATTGTTTGTCATCTCTGTGTGAATGATAATTAAAAGAACTGATGTCCTTGTGTATTGTGCTGTAGTAAACATTCGCGTGCACACATCTTCTTGATAAAATGATTTTATTTCTACTGGGTAACTATTTCATTGCTAGATCAAATGGTAGCTCTACTTTTAGATCTTTGAGGTATCTCCATATAGGTTCTATTAGTTACAATGTCTAAGTGTTCCTTCCTCTCAGTATCCATGCCAGCATCTGTTATTTTGGGATTTAATTCTTTAAAGACTCTATCTCTAAATAAACTTGGTGATATACTGAGCTATAGGAGGCCAGAACTTCAGCACATATGTTTTTTAGTGGAGAACACAATTTATCCTGCAATAAGGGTCAAGTTATTGTTTGGGGTTTTTTTTAAATAATATGGGAAACTTAAGTTAAAACCCATAGGGAGTATTTGTTTAGAGGGACAAGTTGAATATACAAATGAGAAGGAATAATTAATACTGTTAACTTCCTGATGAGGTAGAAGAAAATGGAATCCAAAGCACATTCAAAAAGATTAGCTTTAGAATGGAAAAGTGAGAACTCCTCTGTTGTGACAAGAGGTGCCTCCTGGTGCAAACCAGGAAGTGGAAGAAATCATTGTGTGATTTGCATGAGAGAGAAAGGCCCCCTGCTTGTTGCTGTGGGTCCAGGGAGGGCAGTTGAAGAGGATCAGAAGTTTGAATGGGGTGGAGGAGATTCAAAATTTTCTTTGTAGGGAATAGAAGAGTGAAATTATCACTGTCAACCTAAATAATAAACAGAAGCTCTCTAAAAGAAAATGATATTTATTTGGGAGTAGAGCACTGCAGTGGGAATGCACGTGCCTTAGTAAACCATGTGCATGTTTGGGGAGGTAAAAGAAGACAGAGGCTTTTGAAGGAATAGAAATGAGGACGTTTGCATAATTGGTTTGAAATAATTATCCTTGGCTACAAAGATCAACAAGGGCAACACCAGTCTGAGGTTGGACAGGCAGTCTCTGGGCAGGTGTGCTTATAGAAGTGTGTTTTCATGTACAGTTGCGATGGCTTATGTGCAAGGTTGTGGTTTTTGTAGTCTTTTGTGAAGGCTTTTGTTTTCAGGCATACAAGCATGAGGACCCGCTCTTCATGGCCTCCCCCCTCCCACTCTATTTGTCAAGGGTTCTTTTTGTTTATTTGTTTGTTTATTTTTAAGCATTAGTGACTCCATTGTGATTGTCACAGAAATGTGGTTGAATATTTGGGTAGTATTGATCTTGAATTTATGTGGAACTCTCCTGGCTTTGTAGGTGACCCTATCTGATAGTTTGTACCTGGGTGTTGAAGTATAAGCACAGCAATAGGATTCATCCATCCTGTGTACTTTGCTAAATGAGAAGAATGAGTGTGACAGAAAGACAGAGGGGCAAAGGAGTTTACGTATTGGCAAATGCATTTTTGAAATAATGGGCCAGCTCAGTTGCATAAGGAAGAAACTGGAGAAAGGAGACGACAATTATACTTATAATGATGGTGGTTATGGCAATGAGATTATTAAAAAACAAATAAACTTCATTGCAATTCAAATATTTTTATGAGGGTTATAAATAAATTGGTTAGAGCATTAATTCTGTTTTTCACAGGTGACATTTTAAGGAAGTATTTCTCTTACATACATTGAACTATGTAATAATATATATTTAACTATATAATAGCATATATTGAACGTAAGTTGGTCACATAGAGCATGAACTATACTGTGTTCAGTCTTGCAAATTTGAGGAAAACGTAAAAAAAAAATTTTGCTTATACAGAGATAATTGTAAATTGAATATCTTTATTGATGTTAAATAAGTGCCAGTTGTTTTTACTAACTTATCACTGGAAACGTAATTCAAAAAATCAGTAGCTCTAGTAGATAAACTATATAGTAAGTAATAACTATGATAGTTATTAGTCATTCCCCAGAGTTCAAATTGATAACACCCCTCCATGTGTTATGCAAAGGTTCTCCATGTTGCTGCTGCTGCTAGAGCTAAAAAGTAGATTTCACATGCTTCTGGGTAGGAGACAATGCAACTTCACTGGAAAGTGCTATCAGAATTCTCAGTATTTGTTATGGCAGTAATTACTGCCAGCACTGCAGATATTATTTCTAGAGTCATCCACGGGCGTTTTCTTCCTTTGTAGAGAGAAATCATAGATGCCAAATAGGATACACTCAGAGTTGCATAACTGCACAGCTGGAGGCTGTGTTCTCAGTTCCGCATAGCTTTCTCCAGGCCATGGTGCTTGACATAGCCTTCTGTCCGGTTTGACCTTGCATGCTTCCAGATATCCTCCCATACAGCCTCTAGAAGTAAGCCTGGCTATGGAAGAAGGGTGGTAGTCACAAGCATTTTTGGCCTGCGTAAATATTTGTCATGGTACATTTTAAGAGCACATCTTCAAGGTTATGCTTTGCATATAAATGTAACCATTTGAGGGGTCACAGTGATATGGATTGAGCATAGAACTGTTTTTGCAGTATGTTAATATTCAGATTGAGCAAGATGTCCTGAATGAAATTACATTTTATAACCTAGTTTGGCAAACTGCCATTATTAATGCATTTAAATAGAGTTGTTTACTGGGGGCATCAACCTCAATTTGTATCATTTTTATTAGAAATAGTCATACTTTTACTATATCTACATTAACTGATTCTGCATACTAAGGAGAATTACTTTCAGCACGCATTAAAGCTATATATACATACATTTGGCTATATAACTTTTTTTTTTGTAACAAGGTGATGTCTTTGCTTTATTTAAAATTTATTTTTAAGTGAAAGTTCCATGCTAATGATTTTTCCCCCATCTATCATGATTTTATTAACCTCCTTTTGTTTCTAGAGTATTCTAAAGTCAAAGTCTAAATGTTTGAAAGTGTGGTTTTAAATTTCTAAAAATAAAAACAATATAACATTAATTATTTTAAAAATTGTAAGATACTTTTACCCCACTATTTTTAGAATTTAGATATTTCTAGAGAAGTAATTAGTTATGTTAAGTATGTAAAGTACCTACAAGCCACTTTGTCTCAGTGTTTCTATAGCCATATGTGTAAAGTGCTGAATACAACATTTAGTTCCTGGACTTCCTTAAGAAACTCAGGGTTCTTATTATAAAATGCAGACGTGAGAGACTTTATAAAGAGTGAGTGGACAGAAGGAACGAGGCTACTGAAAAAGTGGGGAAAACAAACAAGGAGGCAAGCTCTTATTAGTGTCGGTGACTGTGCCAGACTTCTTGCATGTACTAGGGGTGTCATCCTGACAACAGCTCTGCATGGTAGGTGTCCTTAACACCATTTTAAATGTGGGGAGCCCAAGTCTTCCATCTGGAAGTGCAGAGCCGGAATTCAGACTCTTGCATGGTGCGTTCTCCATATAGCACTGCTTAGTGGGTCTCTTTTGTGAAAGAGTGATACCTCCCACACGCTGACAGGGAGAAACCGATTCCTGGTTCCCTGCCCTTCCAAAGATCACTCAAACAAAAGATTAAAGCAGAAACAAATGAGATACTGAGGAACAAACCATTGCATTCTAAAGAACACCCAGCAATAGAATTTCCAAATGAACTTAGCACTATGAAAACAGAGGTTAGCCAGAAGTAAACTAAAGCACTTAAAGCTATTCCATTGACTCAGCAATAATACTTTGACTTTTTTGTTTCTAAGTTTTTCTCTCTGGTATTAAACCTTATAGAGAGAGGTAGCAGTTGGAAGTTAACATATTATTGCTTAAGACTCTAAAACATAAGTGGCAGCGAACATTAAGAAATAAATTATGAAAGGTCATATGCCTTGAATAAGTGAAAATTTGCAATATATTCAAACTCATTAATATTTTAAAAATATGTGAAAGATTTCTGTTTTTTTCAATTGGCAGAAGTATTTAAAAAAACAGCAGTCAGTTTGTGTACTTTGGAGAGGTTATTATGTAGTTAAAACCTGGGTGTTTAGATAGAAACATGGGCTTTAGAAAACAAGTTTATAAAGTGTACTGACAGCCATTAGAGTTATAGCATCTTGGATCTAAGAAGATCTCTACTGGAAACCTTTCCTGGAAGATGAAGCAGAATTAGAGAAAAATGCTATGTGTAACTGCTGTATGTATATTCATCATAGAATTACTTAGAATTGATGGAAATTGGAAGCATTCTACATGCCCAACAATAGAAAATGTCTTGAAAGCAGGTATCATAGTTATTTGAGGTGGTGTATTACTTAACTCTTAAGAAGGGTAGATTGATTGGTTGGTTGGTTGGACATATGAGAGAGAGGGAAGCAGGCCCACGGCGAGGGGGTGGGGTGGGGTGGGTTATGCTTCCTAAAAAAGGGTTGTAAGACCATTGAAAATTATAATAACTTTAGCCACATGGAAAATCCTTATAGTATTACAGTTTAATGGTAGGTTAAAAACAGGATAGAAATTACTTATATTCTATGAGCATTGGCTATAGCACCTAAAGCTAGAGTAGCATATGAAAACTCTTATGCATGTGAAGTATTAATGGAAAGAAACACAATAATTTGTCCTGTGGAATCTACAGGGAATTGGGTCCAGGACCCTCTGCAGATACCAAAATCTGAGGATGCTAAGTCACTCACATAAAATGGCATAGTATTTGCCTGTAATCTGTACATAGCCTCCCCTATACTTTAAATCATCTCTAGGTTACTTACGATATCTAATGCAATGTAAATGCTACGTAAATATTTTATATACTATGTTGGAGTGTTTTTTGTTGTATTGTTATTTTTATTGGGCTTTATTTCCAAATACTTTTGATCTGTTGGTTGAATCTGAAAATGTGGAATCTGTGGATACATAGGGCCAACTGTATACATGATTTTTCCTTATGATGTAGTACTGTTACATGATTATAAAAAATAGGATATGTAAACTGTTAGATTTTAAAATTAATATATTTTAACCTGGTAATAACAGAAATGTGCGGTTGTGTTATCAAGTTCAAGGGAAAAGTTCGAGGGAAGCCTATCCACTGGGTTTCTAATACATGCTGCAGAGATATCCTCAGCCACTTCTTCGGAGCTATCCTAAGCTTTGATTTAGGGCATAACCATTCTGTTCTCAAGTTCCTCCTTCTAATTTAGCAACAGATAAAGCTTGATAATATTATTTTTCCTGTTAAAATTATTTAACAGTGTGTATGTGATTTCTGAGTATATATGATTGTGGTGGAGAGTCTAAAAAATCCTCTTCTACATGACAATTTGATCTTTGCTTAACTATCTAGCTCTATTTCCCTGAAGACTTGATAAAAATCAGAATGTCAGCTATGTTACTAGGCCAATATTGCTTATAGTAAATATTATTCCAGATCCAGACTGGGAGAATGATTAATATTTGGTAGAAGGCATAATTTGGGGTGTTCTTGAGTCTAATGACTCTTAATGTACACGGCTCTTGGGACTATTAATTTTTTTTGGCGGGGGAGTGTAGACTTGAAGTATTAATGCCAGAGCGTCTCCTACACTTGCCCATTCAGGTTTGCTCTCCTTACCCTTGCTTCAGGGACTTGACAGAAGAGGAACTCATGATGCTGTCATACTGGCAAACTGCAGGCCCCTCCCTGTGTCCTTCTGAGTAGACTATTGCTAGAGTAACCTCAGTAGGTTTGAATGTTTAGTTGATCTAGAGGGTATTATAGTAGTATAATTCTATAGTTTTAAATTTTCTTTTCAAAGTGGGAAAGTAGTATTTTAACTTTATACTAGTGAATTGACTAACTTTATATTAGTTAATTCATGAACTCAGTTTTATTAGTGCTTTGGAAAGAATCGGGGCACATGGCGTTTAGTTCTAGTTTTTTAACAATTGATTATGTTACCTTGGACAAGTCACTGAATCTCTCTGAAACTCAAGTTTTTCTAATTAGTAGGTAAGAACTTTGATGTCGTTTCTGATATTTCTTCCAACTCTAAATCCTATAGTTCTCTGATTCTCATATCATCATACGTTTACTTTGATCTTCTTTTATAGAAGCTTTCCAGATTTCTTTTAGCCTGCCAGATGATCAGACAGTTGGAAGCCGAAGGTGCTATAGTGTACATTTTTCCAAATTAAGGTTATGGAAACGCTGTCCCATTATAGCTGTGTCATTCCAAAACAAACATCCACTGCCTATGCAATTGAATTTAAAGACTTGAACGTTTAGAGGGAAAAAGCCATTAGAATGCAAGTTTGGAAAGCTTTTGATTATTTAAAAAATTTATCTCAACTTTCATTTATAGGTTGTGAACTGGCTTGAAGGGCCTGGATCAGAACAACTAAGAGCCCAGTGGGGGATTGGTGACTCCATTAGGGCTTCCCAGGCCCTACAGCAGAAGCATGAAGAGATTGAGAGCCAACACAGTGTGAGAGGCATTTTCCTTTGCAAGTTACAGTGCTCTTATGACATGCAGACTTAGTAGCATATGTGGTGCTAAGTTACAAGTTACTATGAATCTTGGTATAAGGGCATCAAGTACAGTATGTTAAATGCTTAGGGCTCATAAAGTACATGTGACCACTTAGTAAGTATTCATTAGGAGATTAGTTATAATCTCCAATACAGTTTAATTATATTTTTATAGAAGCATAATATGTATGAAATTTTAAAGCTACAGTGAGAGAAAAAATTGGTATAATAAGATTTGTAGTTATCTAAAGATGGTACATATATAGTTCTTATCCTTTTTATAATTACTACTTAGAAAAGACATGAAATCTGATAATTGAAAATGTGTGTATTTTCTGTATTTCACGGGTTCCAACATACTAAGTTCTTTTATGCTGAAAAATCCATATTCAATAATTTATACTTAACTTACAACAACTGTTTCTGAGGATATAATCTTTTGATTCTCATGGTATTTTTTAAATAATGCTTTTTTAATGTAGACTATGATTAATTTGAACCTGGTGGATTGTTCTGGAGCATGTCATAGTAGTATCATATCATATCATATAATATAGTAAAATTTGTTCCTCTGTTCAATTCCTAAAAACAGTATTTGCATAAGAACATTATAGACTTCACATATAAGAGGATTTAGTTGTTAAAATATCCCAAAAGTTCTACTAGTAGGGTGCATGACACATAAGGATCCTAAAGACGATATTTATATTTTGTTACTTTTAAAAGATGCTAAGAGAAATTATTATAATTAGAAATTGGATTATATACATACTGTGCTATTTATATGTATAAAATACACAAAGGAATTGAAAAGTACATTTTACATAATAGTATGGATGAAATTACAGGTGGTATATAATAGTGATTCCTGTGTTTTGTTGTTTTGTGTTTTTAATATATTTCCAAGGTTTTTAAAATGAACTTAAGGAAACATTGAGTATGGGTGGCCCATATGCTTAGGCATACTATAACATGGAATCAGTATACAGAATTTTTTAATTGAAAAGGACCTTATAGATTATTCTAACCCACCACTTTATTCTAGAGATGAAGAAACTGCGACACTACATTTTTTGATCACTGAGTAGCTGGACTATGGTTGAAACACAGATCTCTTCTTATTGGTGGGATCCAGGGACATGCTTAAGATAGAGCTTTTATTTTTCACTCTTACACTCTTAATGCTTGAGGCGTGTGTACGTGTCTGTTGACATCTGCGTTCATAGACATCTCCCCAAAGAAAGGAATCACGATGGCTGCTCATGGACTTCATTTCTTTAAATCCTATGTGGTATTTGGGATTGGTTTCAAAATTGAGAAGGAGGGACAGTATAGATGAAACAGGATTGACCAGGAGTTTATAATTATTGAAACTGGATGATTTATAGGGGTTCATTATTCACTAATCTTTCTACTCTTGAATATGGTAGAAATTCACCCTAAAAAGTTTAAAAAGATGATTGTACTTATTTCAGCCAATAGATGGCACTACATTGTCACCTTGAGGATAGGTTGGTTTGCTGCTGAATGAATGTAATAGCTAATGGTATATAAGATATTCTAATATTTCATCTAAACCTTTCTCTTCTCTTCATAAATAAAAGTCAATAGTTTAAAGAATTTATTAAAATCGTTCCATTGGAAATTATAATGACAAATTTCTAGTATTGACAGCTAATTAAGGGTTGGATTTGGGAAGATTCCTAACATACCATTTTGTATTAAAACACAATGTCAAGTGTTAAATTTTAGGTTCTACATAAAAGCATAATGTAGATATAAAGCTATAAACCCCAAATTTCTTAGGATATCAACTACAAATACAGAGAAAGATGAAAAGTCTACTAATATATAATTTTTGTCAAGGATTACAAATGTATTTGGCTTTTAAATACAACACAGCAGAAAAAATATTAAGCTACATGGAAATGAATGTAGTAGCTGACAAGTAATTTAAAGGTATTTTTTCTCAGCGATAAGTCTGATTTTATCTTTTTGGTGGAGGGAAGTGTATGGTAGGAAAAACACGTGATAGGAATATGCAGCCAAAACTGTCAGTATCCCGCCATCCCACTTCTGGTCTCCAGAGTGACCGCCCGCTGGTGTATTGTGCCTTGAGTAAGCAGCAGAACAACAGTGGTCTACATGACAAGTCAACACCCATTTCTCCCTGATATCTATTCTAAGTATAATCAATTGGGTTGACTGCCCGAGTGAGTTGGCAGTATCTCCTCCTAAATAGAGATTTCTGTCTCATGGTATGAAGCACAAATACTCATCATTTCACCAACTGTGTATCACCACAAATTTATATGTGATTACGGTGTCAGTCCTCATTGCTCTGTCCCTAAATGTGAACCTTCAGACTCATTGCTGACCATCTTAATCCAAATCCCAAATCTTGGTGGTGTTGTTTTATTTTGCTATAAAATAATCATTTTCTACATAGTTAAATATACATAAGATATGTGAGAGATAGACCAGAGGATGGCCAGGAATGAATTGAATACAGCCTGTTCACCTAAGATTTTGTGTACATTCTACGTTCTACTCTCTAGGAAGAGACATTTTGATGAGTTTTAAATATATACAGATGTGTAAGCAAGATTTTCCCCTGACACCCCAGGGTGACGAATTAATTATTTGCAGCACCCTCAATCAGTAATATCAATGTCTCTAGTTTCACGTGTTAATTTCTTGAGATAGACTAGTCCTTACATTATAGTGACATACCTGGTTAGGTTGTTAGATCTTTTATTTTACGAATTCAAACCAGGAAAGAAAGCAGCTCTCAGTGGTGGTTCTTAGTGGCTCAAGAGTCATCGGAGGTGCTTATTAAAATGCATATTTCAGGGCCTCACCCTCGGAGACTTTGATTTAGTAGCTCAGAGGTGGAGCTTAGGCATTTTTTTTTTTTTTTATCTTAAGACAGTGGCTCACTTTGTCGCCCTCTATAGAGTGCTATGGCATCACATCTCACAGCAACCTCCAGCTCTTGGGCTTAGGCGAGTTTCTTGCCTCAGCCTCCCGAGTAGCTGGGACTACAGGCACCCACAACAGTGCTTGGCTATTTCTTTGTTGTTGCAGTTTGGCCGGGGCTGGGTTGGAACCCACCACCCTTGTATATGGGACCAGCACCCTATCCACTGAGCCACAGGTGCCGCCCTAACTTAGGCATTTTTAATAAGTACCCCAGATGGTCTGGTGTGGGTAATTTTCCCTGAGAAATGCTATCCTAGGGCTTTAATTCTTTAGTTTACTACTTTTCTTAGAATCATTGCTGTTAATTCTTCAGAAATTTGGATCTATTTATTTAGAGCATTAACAAGTCATAAGTACTATAAGTAAGACAGTGAAATCCTTTTCTGTTTCAGAACATGACAGTGATAATTTTTTTCAGGTAATATTTTCTACTTCAAAAGTCCATTAACGATTATGCTAACTATATAGATTTAAAAGTATTTTATATATATTTATCTAATTAAATCTATCCAATAACCAATAAAATAAGCAAGGCAGCCATCATTGAACAAAGCAGGATTTTTCAACCTCAGCACTATTGCCATTCTGGGCTGGAGAAGCCTTTGTTATCGGAACTGTTCTGTGCCTTTGGCAGCATCACTGGCCTCTATTTACTAGATGCAGTGGCATTTCTCCCCAGTTATGATGACCAAAAATGTCTCAGACCTTGCCAAATGTTTCTTGGAGGGCAAAACCACCCATTGCCTACTTAACGAAATATCAGTAAATCAAGTGCCGAGTACGTTTCATGCATTCATTCAACACATGTGAATTGAGCACACACTTTATGTCACATGTTGCTCCGGGCTCTGACAATATAGTATCACATGAAATTGGCATTTAAGTTGGGGAGACAGGGAGGGGAGAGCAATATAAGTGTGACTTTTCAGAAAGGCCTCTCTGAGGACACGATATTTAATCACAAACCTTAGAATGAGGTGAAGGAGTAATCCAAGCAAAGGACAATTCAGGTAGAGGACACAGCAGTAGAAACACCCCAAGGCAGGGACAGGATTGAAGAACAGCAAGAATGTCAGTGTTGCCGGAGTGTAGTGAGCAAGGTAGAGCCACAGAAGAGAAAGTGGAGAAGGAGTCAGAGCCAAGACCAGTGATGCCTGTTTAGCCCGTGAACAGGAACGTGAAGTTTATTGTAAATGCTACGTGAAGTCATTGGAGGGGTGTTTGAGCAGAGAACGGATTTTTATGTTTACAAAAATTACTGGCTGATGTGTGGAGAATAGGGGATGAGGACAAGCAGTGACAGTGGAAGGCAGGAGGCTGATAGAATAGACTCAGTAGAAGTAAAGAAAACCGACGGACACTCACAGGGCTCACCCAGTGAGACTTGCTCATGGGAGAATTAGGCTATTGGCTTAGCAAGTGTGAAGATGGGGAAGACTGGGAGAAAAGCTGGTTGGGAGAATGGAGAATCAATTATTTCAGGTAACAGATTAAATTTTATGTACCTAATAGTTATCCAGGTGAAGATGGCTAGTAGGCAGCTGGGAATTAGTATCTGGGGTTCAAGAGAGGGGTTGAAGTTGAGGATATTAATTAACTTATTAATTAGTAGCCTGTGGCTGCTACGTAAAGGCATAAGACTGGATAAAGTTATATCCAGCTGAGTATCACTTTAGAAGAAAGGAGAGCCTCTGAAAAACAGGACCCTGGGTCAATGTACATGTAAAGGGCAAGAAGAGGAAGGTTAGAAGAAGCTTTTGTGTCCCGGAAAACAAGTGAAAAGGGCATTTCAAAGAGGAGCAAGTGCTCACTGATGCTAAATGCAGCTGAGGTCCAATGAGATAGAGACTGAAACCTGACCACTGGATTTGGCAAAGTGAACTTGTAGGTGAACTTGAAAAAACTTGTTTCACAGTGGAGGAAGGACAAAATCCTAATTAAAATAGATTAAAAAGAGAATGAAAAGCAAAGAATGAGTACCGAGAATTCCTATAAAAGAGGTTTTTTTTTTTTTAAATTAAGGTTTAACTTCAACATAGTAAATGTACACATATTAAGTGTATATTTTATTGTTTAATATGTTATAGCTTCTTATGTGCTGGTAGGAATGATCCAGTTGAAAAAGAAAAATTGATGGGAGAGAGAGAAGATAATTAGAAGAGCAGAGCTTTGTGTGAGGAACAGAAGATAAGATATAATATACAAGCAGAGAGGCTGGCCTTAAAAATAGGGACAGGTCACCCATTATTACCTAGTGAGGACAGAGCATAGGGGTACAGAAGAAGGGGTGTTCATACATTTATTGGTGGGAAAGCAAGAGAGTTCTCATCTGATTGCTTCCCAATGAATCAAGAAATAAGATCTGATTAGCCAGGCGTTGTAGCAGTTACCTCTAGTCCCATCTATTTGGGAGGCTGAGGCAAGAGAACCGCTTAAGCCCAAGAGTTTGAGGTTGCTGTGAACTATGATGCCATAGCACTCTACTGAAGGTGGCATAATGAGACTCTGTCTCCAAAAAAAAAGAAAGAAGAAGAAAAGGAAGGAAGGAGGGAGGGAGGGAAGGAGGGAAGAAAGGAGGGGGGGGGAAGAAGGAAGGAGAGAAAAAAAGAAATAAGATCTTTAGCTGAGAGTGAAGAGATGAATATTAAGTTGGAGATTTAAGGAATAAAAAAATAATAATAATCCCGTGGGAAAGTGAATTTTAACCAGAGAAATAAAAGGATTACCAAAGACCCATTTGAGTTTATTTAGTTACAGATTTAAAAAGAGACTCATCCAGATGGTTGATTTTATCTAGCCATGTTCTGCTCTCTGGTATAGGTATAGGCAGAGAAACCAGGTTTGAGGTTTGGGCAGGTAAATCTGATGGAAGGCAGGCAAGCAGGGAACAGGCATAGGTTGTGTGGTAGGAGGTGCTTACAGACTTTGACCCAGGCTGGAAGTGAGGACATGGGCTCTCACGTGCTGGACAGTAAAGCATGCTGAGGTCAGTAGAGTGGTGGACTCCATGGTTCTGGGTATGAGCATATTCACAGAGGTGAGTGGAGGAGTCAGGCCCTGGTGGTCAGAGAATGGGATTCATGAAACTGAGATTTTGGGAGCTCTATAGTAGTTTATGACAACAAGTTTTTATTGTCTATGGAGGAGGTTGCTGAGGTCAAATGAGGACAAAATGGTTGAAGTGAAGGAAGGAGCCAAGGAACTGGAATTCCAGGGTATTGGTGGAGGAGCCTGTACCAGGGCTGGAGCTCAGAGGAAGGCAGTGACCTTTGACGAACCCCTCTGGGGTGCAACAGGAAAAGCTGATCAACGTGATCCCACAGTGTGCACTTCAAAGGAGATATTGTATTTGAGAGGAGCAGGTAAGAAAGTGGTCTGGAAGCAGTAACGAGTAATGAGGTGACCATTAAACCCACCCTTCAGCTCATACTGTGTCAGGCAAGGAAACAAAACCCATCATCAGCTGATAGGGCTGCAGGTCTGTTTCTCTGAGGGTGGACAAATTTCACTCAGAGCAATAAAGAAAAAGGAGCATTTAGAGGCCAGGATGAGGTTATAGGGGATTTTGCTATTGGTAGGCTGTGAGGTCTAGGGATCACAGTGGAAGGATTTGGGGATTGAGGACTTTCATCCTCAATTTAAGTAATTATTACCTTAAAATTTTTGGATATATGTTAATTATTTATCTGGAGAAATTGTAAAATGTAATGTCCCCCAGGAAATAATTTGATTCCTAATTTACTTTGCACCGCTTTGATTACAGGAATGGTTTGCAGTATATGTGGAGCTTAATCAGCAAATTGCAGCCCTCTTGAATGCTGGGGATGAGGAAGATCTTGTGGAACTCAAGTCGCTGCAGCAACAGCTTAGTGATGTTTGTTACCGACAGGCCAGTCAGCTGGAATTTAGGCAAAATCTCTTACAAGCAGCTCTTGAATTTCATGGTGTTGCTCAAGATGTAAGTGTCTACTCTGATTGCTCTTCTTTTCTTCGAATTATCTGAATACTTATCTACACATAATTTTTGCAGGTTTGCATGCCTCCTAATTATTTTTCTGGAACAATAAAATAATTTGCTGGTGGGGGTAATGAGATAAAAATCTTTGATTTTTTTTAAACAAAATTTTACTTTTAAGTCTGTCTGCATGCAGTTAAACCTTTTACTGTCTAACTAGAGTGTTCCAAACTAGTAGATATCTTTCATTTAGACTGCTTCTCAGTGATTAAGCTTTATAACATAGATGGGAATGGAAGCATCAATGATACTTCGTATTCTGCTGACCCTCTACTTCTCTGTCTCCCTGGTGCATGCATCTGTGTGTTATGTCTTCCAGATAACATGTATCCTAATTATTCGTCCTCGTCTTTTAACAGCCTAGTCTTTTCAAGTGTAACTGTGATAACCTCATTAGATATAAACCTCATTAATCATTAAACACTTTAGATGCTGATTACATCAGGGTTATCTCTTTGGTGTCCCTCTGCTTTAGTTGTCTCAGCAGTTGGATGGCTTATTAGGGATGTTGTGCGTAGATGTAGCACCAGCTGATGGAGCATCGATTCAGCAAACTTTAAAACTGCTTGAAGAGAAGCTGAAAAGTGTTGGTAAGCAGATTTTAAAAATGCTGAAACATAAAAGGGTTTTTTTTTTTTTTTGTAAAATGTCATTACTATGTTAGACGATTAAGTCAACTTATATTGAACTAATTGTTGCAGGAAATATAGGAAAAAGTAATATAAAGAAGGTTTTATTCCCTCGAGGGGGTATATTTATGCTGAAAATGTTTTCACTGCTGGTTGGTCACTCCTCCCTTCGCTGGGCCTTTGCCCTCCTTGTTTACCCAGCTATATCTACAGGTGCTGTGTCTTGCATTTACTATGCACAGTTATTTGTAATGCATGCGTAAACTGTAATTAGCTGTGAAGTGTTCTGTGGTGAACCCTGTATGCCCCAAACTGTGTTTGATGCAATGATTTTTGTTGTTGCTATATCCTAACCTTGTGAAAAAAATAATAGTTTGGTTCTGTGCATTTGTTTCTTCAAACTAGGAATATTTGCCAGATTATATATATTCTCCAAGGGAAGAAGGGTCCAGTTATTTTAAGCTAGTTCTATCATTTGGCATCAAGGTCTTTAAAATTTCTCTACAGTAGGAAATATAATGAGTGAACTTCCTTAAGTCGGAAGATGAAAATGGAAAGAAGTGGGGGTCATAATAAGGAGGGGAGAAAACAGGAACGTAGCAGAAGCTGAAGACTTATAAAAAGTAGTGACACATGATTATGCCAGAATAATTAACTATTGGAAATAGAATCCTTTTGAAAAATTCTGTTTGTGTTGACCTTGCACTTGGTTGCAGCTTTTGTTAGTTTAACAGATAATATGCATAATGAATATTTAGTATTTAATATGCCAAATGAAATTTATTTTAAAATGTCAGGAGTTTTCTTGAGTCATACTTTCCCTTGAAAAAGAGAATTCCTATAAACATACCTAATTTGGAGTTTTATAAACAAATCTTAAATGTCATTTCCCATGGTGTATAAGCTGGACTGTACCTTTACTCATAATGTTCAGCGTCCTTTTACACTGATGAGGCATTACTTGAGTACTTTAAAATCTTATAAAGTGTATATGTTTTTAAACAAAATATTTGCCTCATTCTCCTAAGAGTTAGACCACATGAAAGCAGAAAGGGGAAAAAATAGAAAAATAGAAATGCTTACACTTTCTCTTTCAGCTTTCAGGATTTTTTTACAGTAATTTTTATTTACAGAAATTTGTCTTTTGAAAACTCCTTTTAAGGAGACTTTGACACAAGGGAGAGCTCTAGTTCAAGCCACATTCAAAAGGGTTTTACTGTTTGAAACGTGTGTAGGGCTTCATCCCAAGATAGTTTAATGTACAAAGCTGTTATATTTGGGATTCAAGAACAATATCTACTGAAATGATTTATTTGGGGCAGGGAAAGCACCTTAGTTGTTTAAGGGATTAACCTAATAACTTTTGTTGTAGATGTGGGATTGCAAGGTTTGCGTGAAAAAGGTCAAGGTCTCCTGGATCAGATCTCCAATCAGGCATCCTGGGCTTATGGAAAGGATGTAACCATTGAAAATAAAGAAAATGTGGACCACATACAAGGAGTGATGGAAGATATGCAACTTAGGAAACAAAGGCAAAGTTTAACTGTTAATGTTACTTTTTACCAAGATAGCATAATATTAATTAAAATGAAAAGCTACATAATTTATATTTTATGTACAAACTAAAAGTTCTTACCTGTTAAATAATAGGCATGTAGTAGGTTTCTGGTGGCTGTGACAATTATTATTGTACTAGCAGATGACAGTTTGTTCAATTGATGGGTACTTTTCCCCTTTCACTTGGTAGTAAAAATCTCAGTTATACTCAGGTACTTCACATTCCATCCCCATGTGGTAGCCTTTGTCTCTGCTCTACTTTAAGAATATCTTTCTGGAGAATTTTGATTTTCCATCTTCATTAATTTGAGAGTTGTTCTTCTATGCATCATCCACACTGATCTATTTCTTCATCTGAATTTCTATATAGTGTCACACTTCCATTTTTCTCTTATTTGCTGTAGAAGGATTAGACAGTGGACCAATGATGTTTAATTTCATTTGATATAGAACTACAAATTTAAAATATTCTTTGAAAATTCAATTCACCACAGCAACTGGGAAGTGTTTAGAAAGTAGAGGATTAAAATTATGTATGTATACACAATCCAGCATGGTTATATGAAAATTTGCGTACTTAGAAATGTTAAAAGCATCAGCAAAACTTCACAGAAATCTCCCCCCGCCCCGGTATCACAAAAGAAAATGGTCAGAGGCAGAAGTCCCTTTTCTCCGTAGAGGATGAGAGCACTCTGCCTCTTATCAAAGCCAGTGTTTCCCTGATTCCAGTGATTCTGGTCACCCTCCTATCTCTTCACTTCATCACCTCCCATTCTCTACTTTGATCCTTGCCTTTCTCTTAAATGCTTATATCTCTCCTCTTTAAAAAAATTCATTCACATTCATGTACTTTCCTCTTAAACTCTTTGTCTTCTACTGTTAGACTTTTTCTTCCCTACAACTAATTCATAAGAAGGTTTACCCTGTATTCATACTACTTCCCCACCTCCTCCTCCAATTTACTTTTTTTTGAGTCTCACTATGTTACCCTTGGTAGATTGCCACGGCATCACAGCTCACAGCAACCTCAAACTCTTGGGCTTAAGCAGTTCTCTTGCCTCAGCCTCCCAAGTAGCTAGTGCTACAGGTACCCAGCACAAGGCCCAGCTATTTTGTTGTTGTTGTTGTTGTTGTTGTTGTTGTTGTTGTCATTGTTGTTTAGCAGGCCCAGGCTAGGTTCATACCCGCCAGCCCTGCAGTATGTGGCCGGCGCCCTAACCACTTAGCTGTGGGTACCGAGCCTCCAATTTACTTTTGAACCCTCTTCAGCCTGACTTTGCCCTCACTATTTCACTCCATTTGCTCTTACTGGTATTAACCAGTAACTTTGCAATTGCCATATGTAATAAATACTGGATCTTACTCAAAATCCAGGAAATACTTTCAGTCCTGACTTGTTTCACTTAGATTATTGTTGGACATGACCGACATTTTCTTTCTGGCTCCCAGACAGCCTTGCCTTCCTTGAAAACACCCTCATGATCCTTCTCCTGGCACTCTGCTTTTTCTTGGTTGTCTTCACTGATCTCCTGGCCCCTAGCTAAAGTCACTGCTTCCTGAGTTTGTTCTGAGTCTTACTTCTCTTCTTTTTATGTCCTCCCTGCTCAGTGTCACAACTTTAACGACCTCCTTTAGTGTGGTCATGGTTTAGTAGTTGTGGCTTTTACCATGACGCTGCTCCTGCACTCCAAACCCCTAATTCCAATTGCCTCTTGAGTATTTCCTGCTGGATGCCCCAGTACGGCTTACCTGGTATATCCAGACTGGAATTGTTTCTTGCTCTTCTCTTTTAATTTCCTATCTTTGTTAAAGTTACTATCAGCTACCAAGCTTGGGATTTATGCTAAAATACTTCACCTTGCTTATCCCTTACAGCCCAATCAAATGTTCACATTCTGCTCTCTGAATCTCAAACGTTTCTTTGTTGAGGCTCTTCCTTTTATCTGCCTCTGGCCTTGCTGCTCTCCAGCTGTTGTATACAAGAATAATCTTTGTCAAGTACAAAGATTGTGTGACGCCTCATACAGTGACCTCCTGTTTTCTCAGATGAAGTCCAGTCTCCGTGCAATAATGCAGGAGACTCTTTGTAATCCAGTCCTGCATAACCTTAACCTCTGTAACCTTCCCACAAAATCACACACTTGTTTTTAGTTTTCTAAAATACATCATACTCTTTCACGAATCTACAGCTAATACTTGCTCATTCTCTGCTTAGTGGATTCTTAATTCTTTAAGATTCAGGGATACTTATCTGAGGAAGCCTTTTTGGATTTTGAAAGCATCAGTCACTTGCTCCTCTCTGCTTCCATGAAACCTTTTACATAGTTCCATAGTAACACTTCTTACACTGTTTGTTTGAAAGTCTATCTCCCCAAATGGGAGTATCTTGATAGTAGAGACCTCTATCTTGTTTTTTCCCCAGAACACTATCCAGTACCTGACACATGGTGTGTTGAATACAGTTTATATATCATATCATATGATATTATCTTCATCATTAAAGGGTCGTACATTGCTTTTTAGTTTTACATTTTATAAATAATTCTCATCATCACTTCCCTTCAGTCCACTATGGAATTACTTTAACCAAGTTACATTTTAACATTGATATGACTTTTTATTGAGAGCATCTTTATTTAAAAGATGTCATGTGATAACTACTTCTGTACCGTTACTAAGCTTTATGTAACGGCATTACCTGTAGTAGAGCCCAGTGCCTGCTGGGTACGTTGTTATTTTTAATTGGGACTGCAGTGGGAGTCCCTCCTCCAACCTGCAGTACCTGGAGTTACTTGGGAAGGAAGTGGACCAGAGCCAGTTAAGTCAAATCACCTTAAAAATTTAATCTGTATATTATCCAAGCAGACCACAGTGAAATTAAAAAGTTGCATTTTTCTCCTAAAAAGATGAGTATTTTTTAATGGAGAATTAAATATTATTGTAGATTTCATGATATAATGAGAAGTATTTAGGTTTTAAAAAATTCCTTGAAATATCATCCTCTAAATTAGAAACTTTACATCTGTGCCTTTGAAACTTGTTTAATGCTAATTGGCAACGGAGGTTTCTCTGGGTTTTAGCGTGCGATTGCGTTTATACTTTGCTTCAATATTTTACAGAGTACGTGCTATCCTCAGGAGGGTTTGTCATTCAGTATAATTCAGGTATTGTGAGGTTTTGATGTAACATAGTTATAGATACTTATCAAATTCTTACATATCAATACAAAATAGTTTCTATCTCTGTAGTAGAGGACTAAGTATTTTAGTGTACCATAAAATGTGGGCCAGACAATGACATTGTGATAATAATCAACAAAACTGAATTAATGAAGTAAATTTATGTTTGGGTTTGTTAGATGTGAAGATATGGTAGACGTGCGAAGGTTAAAGATGCTGCAGATGGTGCAGTTATTTAAATGTGAAGAAGATGCTGCCCAGGTAAGGACCACATGGCCATACTATGTAGTTATCTTTTCTTAGAAGATTGATTTCATTTAACTGCAAACAAAAGTATATTTTTGATGTTCCTAAGAAAGCAAATTCATTAAGTCAGATTCTGTAATATAATAGTTTATCCTATTGAAGAATAAATTTGGGATTCCCAACTAGTTGACTTATCCTGTCAGTGAAATTCTCTGTTGAGCTAGAGATGGAGATTATTGTTACTAAGTTGTCAGTTAAGTCCCAGGACAAAGTGTTGTGTAGTACATTGCTTTTTTAACCCACAAGAGAGTTTTAATGCCAGATAAATAATTTGATGTCTTTGTGTAGTTAGGATATGAGAACGTCCGTTTAGTTTGATATGCATATAGAGGAAATTAATGATCTTCAAATGGTAAAACGTATCTAATGAGATCACAAGAGATTTATATTGTAGAAATACATGATCTTCTGTGATACTAATTTTTAAAAAGTACTGCTTTTTAGTAAGTTTTGCCTTTAAATTTTGAGGAGCAATAGAAGGCATAATTTATTTATTTTGGCATTGAATGAAATGAGCTACTTAGAACTTAGGTACTAATTGACAGATTGATTATTCACATGATAGCAATCTTTGTATAAATATGACCTATTGATATAGTAAGTGAAGATATGAATCCAGCGTTATTGTTACATATTTTCATTTAGGCTGTGGAATGGCTAAGTGAACTTCTGGACGCTCTACTTAAGACCCACATCAGACTGGGTGATGATGCTCAAGAAACGAAAGTTTTGCTGGAAAAGCATAGAAAGTTTGTTGATGTTGCACAGGTGCAGAACTGGTTATCTTCCTTTTCTACAAGCTCCCTGTTTGAATAGCTTTCTGCATGATTATAATGTAACTTTACCTTCCAAGGTCCAAGAAGGTCTGTTTTGTTATTCCAGATATATCACAGAAATTAGAACATGTCAGCTGGTGTATCAAAACTAGCCTGCTTAAACTTGTGAGAGTTTATATTTCCCCCAAATGCAGGTTCTATATGCTTCTTCTGCTTTATGTCATATATTATGGCACTCTTTTTAGGCAATCCAACTGTTCGTTCACAGACATAAATGAGAAATATATGTTAATATCAGTAAATTAGAAATCCCACTTTCTGCATCTTACTGGTATTAACATGATACAGAAATTATTTTATGGTGAAAAGTATCTTAATTTATTTCACCTAATAATTGAGTTCATATTGTAACAGTGGTGGTTTCCTATATGGAATATAAAGTACCTAATTTCACCCACTTGTTTTGATTAATTAGTGACTAGATATTCTTTTTAGCCAGTGAAATTTAGAAGACTGAGATGGAGAAAACAGAATAAGAGGGAAAAGCCTAACGAGAAAGAAACTTACTATAAACTAAAAGTATTTCTTCCCCTTTCTTATTCATGCATGCAGACAGTTTGCAATAATAAATACACACTGATTTCTAGTAGGGTCACTTAATTACCACCACAGTCCTCCTGCACACCTTTCCCATCCTTCTCTTTAGGACTCTGCCATTATAATTTCATCTTTGCTCTTTCTTTTTTAGAGCACTTATGATTACGGGAGGCAGTTGCTGCAGGCCACAGTTGTGTTGTGCCAGTCTTTGCGCTGCACTTCTCGGTCATCTGGGGATACGCTTCCTCGACTGAACAGAGTATGGAAACAGTTTACAATAGCATCTGAAGAGAGAGTGCATAGGTTGGAAATGGCTATTGCATTTCACTCCAATGCTGAAAAGGTTTGCTTTTTTTTTTTGGAGATGTATTCTCAATAGTATTTATTATGTACATTTGAAATATGTTGATTTTAAGAATGTAATTACATGACTAATCTCTTTTTCAGTATTTATGTTAGTTCCATTTTTAAAGGTTGCGTAGATTATAATATACTGTCTGAGAGAGTTCAATTAAATTTTCCTAATCCACACCAGTGCTGGAGTACTGTCGTTGGAGAGTCCGGAACCACTGGGAGGTCCTCTCTTTACACTACTTCTCTCCTTATGTCTCTCCTGAAACCTAATGTTCAGCGTGTCCCCTCTGTTCTATAGACGATCATGACTTCAATCTTTTTCATTATGCCAGAAAAGGAAACTTTGCTTTGGCAACTACTACTAACTGTCAAAAAAATTTTTAAAGGTAATTTTATAATTTAAAGTGGAGACATAAAAGAATGAGAATGAGGATAAAATTCTTTTCTATGTATTATCTATAAAGATTCATTTTAGAATTTTTATTCTAAAGAGCCATCAATTCCAAAAACCAAAAGTAAAATATTTAGTGTTAGTTTGGCATATTTTTAATAGAACATTTTTCTTACTCTTCCCTGTAAAAATTTATTGCATCCGAGCCTTAAGTTTCCATTCAGAGGGGAAACTTATTATGTAGTTAACTTTGCTGTGGTCCTTCTAATGAAAGTTTATATACAGGGCATGTACAGTATACTTTTTTAAGATATGACAAACATAAGCTGTAAGTGTGATAGCCTGGTCTGTAGAATAGAAAGAACTAGTGTTCCAAGAAATGTCGATAATGTCTGTTTATGAAATAGATCCTTTGGAAAGCGTCCACAGTGAACTCTTTCTTACCTGTCCACTGAACCTACAGATGAGTGTTTGGCTGAAATGGGCCTAATGATGATGAGTGAAAGCATGCAAAATGGCATCACTTGTTTACCCACTGACTGTTTCAATGGAATTTTTTTATTATAAAGTATACTATTAACATAAAAATGTATTCAGACCATAGGTGTTCTGCTTGGTGAAATTACACAGGTGAAAGTGAATACCTGGGTATTTGGTGTTCTCTTCACACAACAAAACATTACCAGCACCCCAGAAACTCCCCCTTCCTCTGGCAGTCACAGTATTGCTCCTCCCCACCATCAAACAGTGACCATTAACTCAAATTTTAGCACCACTGGTAACTTTTTAGGACGCAACTTTTAAAATCTACCTGCAAGAATGTGTTCCAACTCAATCCAGGTTAATAGAAAAGATGTGAAGTCTCCATCGCTTTTTAATAGCTGAATAGTACCCTCAATCCTAAATCCCAAACAAGAAAAATAAAAAATAAAATTCAAAAAGTTAAAAAAAATCTAACTGCAAGGACATTTTAAAATCTAGACCTCTTTAATAGGTTTTATCAGAATTAGGATGGTTGAGAGTTTTTAACACTTCAGCTTTTTTCTGCTACCTGGCCTTTTTTTTGCTTATAATTTTATTAAGGTTATTTTACTGTGCAAACCTATGTAAAGCCCCTTGTTGTCAGATATTAATTTCCTTATGACAGTCTTCTATTTTATACATATTTAGTATAAATATACCTATAAGCAAATTATATAGTATAAATATTAGGAAAATATCTAAATTAAATCTTGAGTTTTAAAATACAAAAATAATTTATTTATTAGCAGGGCTGAAATAAACATGATTTAATTAAGTGAAGTATAATGCAAAAATAAATACTTCTTTTCCATTTCCCTCTCCCAAATTTTGCAATACTGTCTTGTAGTTAAATTTAATTGGTAATAGTTAAGGGGGAGAGAATAGTGTCTCACCAAGGACTGTAGCACTTCCTGTATCTGAAGCTGACTGTTTTACACCAGTTAGGTCAGTAGATCAGTTGTTCAATGCAGTGTCTACCTAAGTCTGCACATCAGTTACGTGTTTGTACCCTTAAGGATATGTTATTTTTTATTTATGTTTGGTGTCTATAAGCTCCTTGAGATAGAATCTATCCTTCATTCACATTTCAAGCTGCTTAATTAAATATAAAATGTTCAATAAATGGTTACTGATGAGTGAAAGAATAATTAAACTTATTTTCCAAATAGAAGTTTATTTTTTTTTCCTTGGAAATCACCATAGACCTTTTTGTACTGTAATGACGTATTGTCAGTAGGGATGCTGTATTTCATTTTGTTTGAATTTCTTGAGCCAACTTTGCCAGTAAGGGATCAACCATGTACAGTGATATACGTACGTAAAGATGCTAAGAAAAAGCAAACCATTCAGTCTACTAAATTTGCATGTGCCTGATTCCCTTTCTGTCTCCTGATGATATTCCCAGATTTTGCAAGACTGTCCAGAAGAGCCTGAAGCTATTAATGATGAGGAGCAATTTGATGAAATTGAAGCAGTTGGCAAATCACTTTTGGATAGATTAACTGTTCCTGTAGTTTATCCTGATGGGTATGGTGCTTGTTCTTATGATTTTATGTTCTTATCAGTGTAGTCTTAAAGTCATTAAGAACGGATATCTGTTCTTTAAAAAACCAAGTAAATTAGCTTTGGTCTATATCTTTAATTTCCACAAATTGGTTTAAATGAAAAGAAATATAAATAGCTCTTCGTAGTAGTGACAGTTGGTACTTGCTGACATCAGATATGTTACTTCTTGACAGCTTGTTGCAGAAGAATGATCACTGAGTAGATTGAAACACTTGGTTCTAGCCTAGGCTGTGACGATAAGGAACAGTGTGACTTAGGGCTTCCTTCAGCAAAGGGAAGGGGAAAGGAGGGGGCTGTTGTTCAGTGAGCTCATAATAGATGCCAAGCACCTTCAGTTACTTTTGATCAAGAAGGACTAGGTCAGTATGATTTTCCTGTTTTACAAGTAAAGAAAGTGAGGCTTAGAGAGATGAAGTAAGTTGCTTAGAAGTTTACAGCTTCTGTGTGTTAGAGTTAGGACGCAGTCTCAGGTTTGTTTGGCTCCAGATCCGTTCTCTTTTCACTGTGCTATATGACACCCTAACTTCTTCATGTGTAAAAGAATGGGGTCCTGATTGCCTTGTTCCTTTCCATTTCAAATAATCGATGACAAAAATATGAAATAACCCAATGTAAAATAAGTAGATCAGGAGAAGAATCAGGAAGAGCTTTATCCCTGGTGATATAGACCTTCTCAGTGAAAATAATTTAGAGGTGATCCAGAAGATACTCAATCCAAACCAAACCACTGAATAAAAATATAAATCTGTTGTGCTGTACTGTGATGAAGGAAGTCAGATTCCAGAGCCACCTGCTTCAGCTCCACCAGTAACCAGGTGTGACACCTTGGGCACGCCACTTAACTCCTCTAGATGACTTTCTTCATCTAAAAACAGAGATGTAATAGGCGTACCTCCTCAGGTTTCAGGTGTGGGGGAATGACCTGAGCTAACGGTCCGTAATGTTCTTGAAACAGATCTGACACAGAAGATGCTGTGCTACTACTGTGTCAGGACCTTCCTTCCAGGGATTGTTTGGGAATGATATTGAAAAGATAGCATTTCCTTCCCTTCAAGAAGATCATTCATGGTCTGCACTTAGGTAATCTCAAATCATGCATAAACTTGAATAATCAGAAATAGCCTAAAGTTATACACACACACACACACACACACACACCCCTGCAATAAAAGAGAACAAAATTTAGTTAGTAACCACATATAGGACCTGGAAAAATTTAGTTAGTAACCATATTATAGGACCTGGTTGTTCCATGCCAGGATCCCTCACCTCCTTCTCCCCCCATTTCCACGTTTCACAGCTGGCCGTCTCATAGTCAGCCTCCCATTCTGCCCAGCTCAGCCTGGGAACATCTCTCTGGTCCTTCTGCTTGGGCTTCTCTTTCTGAGCTCCACAGATAGCTCACATCTCATTTCCTCATCTTTTTAAGAGGAAAGAATAAGTACTGTATATTCAAATTTCACAAACACTCTCCTTTAATATTCAGAATTGTTATTTTATTCCATTTTATACTCATGTTAAAATTTATATCTATTTTGGGCATTTTGGTAAGTTAAGTATTTCTCAAAGGCATGTATATTGTTTTCATAATTGTTAATATAATAATCTGCTTATATAAAGTTTGGCTGACAGATTCTATAGATTTATGTTTTACATATTGTCCTGATAAAATAAATTAATGGTCTCTCAGGATTCATTGTTTTAAAGATCCCAGTTCAAATCTTGGTTTTTCTACTGTGTGACCAAGCTGCACATTTAACTTTCTAGGCCTTAGTTTTTTGATCTAAAAAAATGAAGAGGTTAATCAGATAATTTCCAAGAGCAATTCCAGTTCGAAAAGATTCTGTGAGTTTGAATATAGTTGTCTTTCTCAATGGAATAAAATAAAATTATTTTTTCTATTAATATACCAAACAGCATCTTAACATTAAAAAGAGTATGTAATTTACTTCCCAGCTCCCCTAAGCAATTGGAGGGGCCCTTAGCACATGTACAAATTTTGTGTATGCTTACAGACCCCAAACTAAAAAGCAAAGTATCTCCAATTTTGCATTCTTTGGTTTATTGAGATTACCAGAAATACACTTGACATGATGTTTACACCACTAATATATTTCTCATCATGGCTTAACGTATTTTATGACATTTAAAAAATACTTTTCCTACTGGATTACAATTCAAAGATAAAAAAGTATGTCTGTGAATGAACTAACATTTTCACACTGTCTCATATATGTGCTTTCTTATGTTAATCTTTACTTCCATTTACATTCGATGCAGGTCACAGGTTTGTATTAATACAGGGTTTGTCTGTGTTTTTTGATTTTAGAACCGAGCAATATTTTGGGAGTCCAAGTGACATGGCTTCTACTGCAGAACACATCAGAGACAGGATGAAACTAGTTAGTCTCAAAAGGCAGCAGCTGAGACATCCTGAAATGGTGACCTCAGACAGCTAATAGCCACCAGCTTCCCCCAGATCTGCAGTTCACATCCTGCATGTCGTCGGCCTCCTACAGCATTAGTCACAGTCCATTACGATGCATTTCACAGCCAGGATAAGCCTCATTTCTTTTCACGACACATTTCTCTCTACATGTTAACACCTTGCAGCTACCAAGGCATAATTATTTAACATGCTTTGAGACCATAGACTCCCATGTATCTTAAAAGAAGGAACTATAAAACATTGCACTGAAAACTTAGATTAAAGCTTTACCTGACCTGTCAGTTTGTAGACCAACAACTGATAATAAGCTTTGAATGGTGCTAATAAGAGTTTAGGAATTCTCTAACAGAAATGGTTGCCCTTCCTCCCCAGGTGATGCGGTAAACTTAGACTGTAGTTAAACTGTTATTAGTAGACAGTGGTGTCCTCCACATTTTACTTTGTAATTTTTCTTCAGAATTGATTGTTTTTATTGTGTCAATATGGAGAAAACCCTTCAGATCTTTGATATATCATATTCATTAAAAGACATTTTCCTATTTGTATTGATAATGTATTAAAAGTTGTCTGTGCTTAATAAAAGGATTCTTTAAACATCTTATTTAATTTGGTAGTTATATCCTATTTCTAAACATGAGTGCCTTATTTAAAAGGGCATTCTTAGGATTGTGAGGATGGTTTAATATTTGTTTTTTCATGGTGGTTGCATGTATTTTTAGCCAGGAAATTCATATGTAAGCATGTGTATATAATAAATAAGCATGTTTCATTAAGAAAAATAATCGTGAAGAACAATTTAGATGTTTAAGAACTTATTAATAATGGAATCCTATTTCTGATTTCTCTCTTCAACTTGAAAACTATTATCAAAATTATTAACTACCCTGAAGATTTTTGGTCTTTGGGGGAGGAAGGCTAAGGAAGAAGGCAAACATAATTACTTCAGTGTAATCCTTTATAGCAGAAGAATCTTTCTGGTACTAAAATAGCATTTGTTAATAAAATTTACTTTCTCATAATAGACTAGAAGTAAAGCAAATCTGAAGTAGTCCAATAATAACTGTATGACTCCTTTAGAAATAAAATTTATCATAAAATATTAGTGCTTTTAAGTTTATATTAAGTTTAAATGGTAAAATGCATATAATTTAAATTTTGTGTATTTTTATTTCAGAAAATTTTTTTAAAAAATTAGAACTAATTTTTTAGGCTTATAATCAATACAAAATTATGCAAAGAATTATATGCTGTATTCCTTTTCATGATCTATAAACATGCTCATGTATCCCCCAATGCAAAAAGCTCACCCTGAACCTGCTGGTCTCTCCAGCCTTCTTCACTGCCAGACTCTGTAGAGAAATCCACAGCCACTGCCCCCACATCCACATTGCCCGCAGGTCCACACCTTACAGTGTGCTCTTACACCACTGCCCCAGATCCAC